TTTTTAGTTAAAAAGAAAAAGAAAAAACAATTATAGTTTCTGAGTGGGAAGGGCAAAAAAGGCAAATTGAGGAATAAAAAGCAATTAAAAGCTTCTCAAAAAATTTTCTGCTGTTTTTTCTTGCCTTCTTCCAGGATGAGATTTCAAAGCCAGAGCTTAAAGATCAGTTTGATTTGGAAGCAGAGGGTGTGTCTATGTTCAGTTTCATCAAACTCAGGGTTACAGTCAAATGTGATACAAAGCCAGCTGTTTCTGGCTCTTATGATTCAAAGCAACTGAAGCTTCAGGGTATCTGTGAGGTATTTCCCAGCCCATAACAGGTGAGAACAGGTATTTCTGACTACTAAAACATGTCCTGGAAATCAGATTACAGGTCCTTCAGATAACAAGGGTTTTCAGGAATGTAAAGGATTAACCATCTTCCTAGGTATTATTCCTATTACCAATTTCCTTGCAGGTCTATAAATTCACAGACTTCCATTGTTTTAAAAAGTGATGAGTGAGCAACTTCTGTATCTGTCAACCAAAAAAGATTCTGCCAGCTCCAATGGCCAGTGAGAGGCCATTTCTCCACAAAGGCCCTTCCTCTCAGGGTATGGGCTCAGACAAGGGGTGTTTGGGATAGCTCCTGGGAGTGGGAACCCAGGCTGGCTCCCAAATCCACACATCATGGATTCAGGTTGTCTCTACTTTGGGTATGTCAGTGGCTCTGGCCAAAATAAGGACAGTGTTGTACTGTGTTCAGACATCTATAGTGGATGCTGAAATCCAGATGAGCCAGATATCTTATGTCTCAGAATAATTCACCACCACAATTACTGGGGCTGGAGCTACTTCTGTCATGGCCAGCTCAGGAGCCCACTGACCATGGCATCCTTCCTTGTGACCTTCTCCTCTTCAGCTCCTCCTGATGTGCACTCCATGCTTTAACAGTGCATCTAATGAGACATCAGCCCAGGATCTGGCAATGAATAAAGCTGACTGAAATACAGAATTTCTTTAGTATAAGGAGGTTCTGATAGTGCAAGTTAATTCTTGCTGTCAATTAGACTTTGAAACAAAGTATATTTGTCATATATTGAAAGTATTTTGAGGATTTTCTTTTGGACTGTGTAAATATTTTAATACTAATTATCAAAGACCAAAACTTTTAAATATTTAGAAAATTAAAACTATTAGAAAGAGTGTAATTTCTAAATGGTAAATACAAAAATTCTATTTGGGAAATTGAGAAAAGTCCACCATTATTAGAATATCTCACTGACATATTTTTAAGTGATATTTCATATAACAAGCTTAAAAAAACAAACAGCAAACAAACAAAAAACCCAAACCCACAAAAAAGCCTAAGTATGAAGCAGCATTTTCTGATTGCTAAATGCAATGGCAGAAATTTTTTGTTCCACTTCAGAAAGAGTGCTAATGATGTGTTCCTGTGAGTAGGACCCCTTGAAACATGATTTGGAACCAGGGACATTAATAGAAAAGGCCTTTAAAGAAAAGAGTTCTGGTCTGAGGAAGATTTCAAGATTCTGAACTTGCTGCTCCAGTTCTTGATTCAGCTTTTTCTAAGTTTTTTTTTTTTTTTTTTTTCATATTTGGCAAGCAGCTCTTGCCTGGGTTTTTTCATGGTCATGTCCATTGACTTCTCTGACAGAAAACAATGTAAAGTAACTCAGGCAAGACCACCAGTTCCTTTCTTTAAAAGAAGTGGCCACCACAGGAAGTCTCAGATGTAGTATTGGTCACCAAATTTTTGTAAATAAAGCTCTTCACTGTTCACTATCAAGTAACAGATTTAAGTCATGCTGGATGGTAAGTGCTGGACAAGGATTAATTTAGTTACAAAACCTGATCATTCTGATTTGTGTCTGGAAGTTCCTCAAAGAAAAGACAGGCCACTTTGCCTTTTGTTCCCAGTCACCATTACTTTATCACAATATATCCAGATCACTCTTTTAGCCACTAAATAATTTTGTGGACTTTAAAAATAGCTTTTTAATGCACTGTGATTAAAAAAAAAAAAAAAAAAAAAAAAAAAGTAGTATTGCTATGATTTTATCTAAAGATATTCATTAGCATTTTTCTTGATTGTTATAATTTAAGAGTATTATAAACTGTGGAATGACAAAATTTAAACAAACCAGCTTATATTAATCATTCTCTAGCTTTTTTAAGAACAGTCCAGATTTCACATACCTGAGTAACTAAGCCAATGGCAGTTTAACTAAGGAACTTCACTTTTGACTGCTTCGTTCTTAAGCCTTAAATTTTGCTCAAAGCCTAAGTAGCTTTGAGCATGTTCACCATGTTCACAAAAAAGTGCCACAATATCCTCTCTCCTGCTTAGTGGAACCTATATAAACTGCTGCACTTTCTAACCACAGCAAAGAATCCCAGAGGCTGGGATGTGACTGTCTTCCATCCTCTTCCCATAAGCAATGCACTGCATTGGAAACCTTTCCCTGAGACAAAGAATTGTGTTCTGCCATCGCTGGCAGCTGGGCTGTGCAATCTTCTCACAGCTATTGGCTTTGCCTTCTGTCCTCTCATTTTCTACTGGAGTAATTTTCCTTCCCAGCCTGGGCTACCCTGGAGAGATGGTAGTCAGGGAAAGAAAACCTCTTACTAGGTTTCTGCAAATATGAAAATTAAATAAGAGCATAATGAATAATGAAAATTTTAGCTTGAGTCGGTGAGCAAACAATGCAGCTCAGGAAGCAGGCAGAGAGCAATGGGGGCTGTTAACAGCTTGGCAGTGGTTGTTTCCTCTGCATTGACCAAGAAAATGTCCTTTTCCAGGAAGCCACTGAAATGGCAAAGCAGCTGGGGTGAGAGGTGTTCATTAAGAAGATCCAAAGCAGATTGTGATTTTACTTGAGTTCTGTACCACAAGTGATAGCGAATTGGAAGTCCAGATCAGAGCATGCCACATACAGCATGTTACAGGACACCTGGCATGATTTCAGTGCTAAGCCACAGTTTATGTGCTGTTACATTTTTATTTCCAGAAGCCTAAATTTGGACTTTCAATCACTCCTTAGTTTTTCAGCTGTCACCAACAGTTTTTTACATTGCAAAGTGTCTGTGACTGATGGCACAATAAAGCCATCAGTGTATCAAGAGTGTATCAAGCTTTTTTATTTGCAGGGATGCACTTTGCAGGGGTTCAAGCGGCCTCAAACACCACTCTTAGTCTTTTCATGAACTATCTTTTTTTTCAGTGTTGCATAGCATGCTTTTGGTTCCTTCAGACAGTGACAGTGGTCAGAGATGTTTTACAGCTTTCAGTGTCATCATGATTGTCCATTTTGTCCCAGTGCTTTGATGTTAGAGTCCTAAACTTTGTTCATGAGGAAAAAAACAAACAAAAGACCTAACAAAAATATCACTGGAGTATAGTTGTATCCAGCTGATATCTTTGGATCCTACTCCTCGTGATGATTGTTTGACTGCATAAAAATATACTCCAGGCTTTGGTGAACAAACATGCCACACCTAGCATAGCTTAAATAAAAACTCATTCCTCCTTTCAACTTTGTCTTCCAAGGAAAAACAGAAACCATCCTCCTCTTTACACCAGGAGCTGCAGCCCACAGCTGAGCTCTCATGAAAATCTTCAGATTCCTGGTCAGGGCTATGTGAAGATTTTCATAATCAGGAGACCCAAATGGTAGGGTCACAAGGTGCACTGCAAAAAGGTGTATAGTGTACCATATACTGTATATATCATATACACTGTATGATACACTATAGACTACTTTGTTACTTCTCTTACAGCCAAAGATGTCAAACACTAGGCCCATTTTTAACCACTCATCTGTCTCCCTATGAAAAGTTCATCTACCACATCACATTACAAAGTCACAAATAACTTATATATACATCTTTGTTCTTGCTATACCATGTGTTTGATTTTGAACTAAAACACCCACCCTGTCAAGCTATTTTTTGGGCTATATGTGCTGACATGTGCTGAGGTGAGAAGCATCCTCTATTTATTCAGTCTTACCCAGATCCTTATACCTCATTTGTAGCAAGTCATAAAACACAGGCTGAAACATGAAAATGTTGTAACAGGGATGTCATGGTTTGGCATCACCTTCAAATCCACTTTAAGCTATTTCTTATCTTCCCTTTTACTACTCAGAATAACAATTTTAGGGCTATGCTTGATTCTTGACAATCTGCTCTGGGTTTTGCTTTCTCCCAGTTTAACGAATTTATCATATCTCCTGTGCTTACTGTTGCTTTTTCACACAAGAATCTTAACATCATTTATACATTTTTACTGAATTTTTCTCTGAAGTCGAACTCTTTCTCTGTCATGGGATCAGGAAAGTAACACTTGATTTTCAAAAACAGCTGGATAAAAGAAATAGCCAAATTAAAAAGAAATACTCAAATTAAAAAAAAAATTTATCTAGCAAAATAAAACATTACCATCACAAAATGAAGTGGAGGAGTAATCACAGTGCCTATGTAATGGAATATACAGGAATATACAATGGAATATACTATATTTGCCTAATAATAATATTTGACTAATAAATAATGGAATATACTATATTTGCCTATATAGTAATACACAAGAAACAGGCACCACTTCTCTATTAAAGTAGTCTGATGTTATTTTCAGTTTTCTAGAACATGTTTTCATTATTTAGATGGAGAAGGATGGCTAATACTTAGTATATGTTTTTCTTTAGGAAACATGTACTACAAGGAAATAGAAACACAAGATCCAAGATGATTTTCCCTCTAGTTGTATTATACACATATTGAAGTCAAGAATAAGCCAGGCAACAAAATATCTCACACAGAGAAAGGCTGTATTTTAGCTATTTATATTTATTTGACTACTAATTGGTAGGGTGATGGTGAACTGGGGAAGCTGGCAGAAACTCTTTGAATATCCCATTTATTCTCCTTTCTCTGACAATCAACAAGTAAAAATAAATATAGAAGCATTCACCATAAAAACACACAAAGAAAATTAGTTCAGGAATGTTGGTTTATTTGTGATAGAATGATTTGATTAAGAACAATTAAATTTTAAGTCCCATTTAAGTAATGCAGTCAACCAACTGTCATCAAGAATGAGTGATAGCCAATGCCAAAGTATCATTTATCACCACATTTTCACTTGTGAGGAGCCAGAGGAACTGGTTATGCAATCATTAAATTAAATAGCTGTTTAAAAGGTATTCTCAGATTAGGTAAACCCTGCATGTGTTTATTTTTGCTCTCAAAGTGGGTCTGCTGGTTTTAACAGGACTGCTCACATACATCAAGTTGCCCTTGCTTTGCAAGAATGAGCCCTATCCCCACTTCTCTGCATCAGACCAAAGACAGTCCTCTGAAGCAGCAGATGGTGACAAACCAGCCATTACAGCTTCTTATCATCATAGCACAAATTTAGTTGTACTTCCCCAAGCATGATGGTCCAATGCCAAGCTTTCCTTGATATATCCTCTGGAAAGAAGAAGAAAGGGGAAGAAAAAAGACTGTACAGCCTCCTCCTAGAAAGAGCTTGGGAGACACAGTTTGGCCATTTCTGCTGCTGATGGGGCTTTGGCTGGTAGAAAAACTCCTTCTCCTACTGGGAAATAGGATTTTCCTACTCCACTTCTGCCCCACATATTTTGGCCCATCTTCCAACGCAGTCTGGGTTCAGTTCTATGGGTCTGAGGTGGTTTTGCTGCAGCTCCCACCCTTCTGATGCCAAAGACAGCTGGCCCACACCTCCAGTGTCTTCATATGAAAGTGGGTCTCACTGACCCAAAACCTGCAGTACAGGGCAGCCAGGCCTTTTTGGCCAATAGAACACAAAGATCCAGATGTGTCAGTGTTACTATGCTTGTTCATATTATCAATCTGTGCACCCCTGTATATTTGGACATGTGCTAGACTTACAGAATTAACAGTCTCTGTGTGGCACAGCAGCAGCAGCAGCTTTGCTGTGTCCTAGCTCTGGAACAGCAGGGCATGAATGGTCTGGTTACCAGACATATTAATTGTATCTGGAGGTAGCCGTTTTACTTACTTTTTAAATAAGACAGCTGATCCCAGATGGATTATCTTTATCCTTGCGCATAAAACATGACCTTTCTGGACTGCTATCCAAATATTTAGTCCTTTTTTTGGCACACAGTCATTTCCTGTGCTTCAAACAAAGAGATTATTAAACACAAACACATTTGAGGTGAATGCTCAAGTAAGAGTAAATTCATCATTCTCTTCAGTGAACAAACACAGTGGAAACCTGACAAGAGCAAAAACTGTTGTAGTCTGAAATGCATTCATTACTGACTGAACATATGCTGCAATTGTTACTACTATTTATCACTGCCTGGTGGCAAAGCAAGATCCATGACTAAGCAGTGTTGGTGATCTCATAGTGCCCTTCTCTTTTCAGAGTCACAGCCTTCTTACAGCTGTCAAATTTTCAAGCTCTCACATCATATAGGTTTGAAAACCTGAAGTTAAAAAGCCTGGAGATATTTGCAGGCCTTCTCAGGTCATACAAGCCCACTCTGTCCAGTGGGTGTTCCTTCCACAGTCCTGTTTGATAACACCATGGTTAAATGTAGAATAGCAAATGCACAACAGTAATGAACAAACCATTCTGGCATTGAAGTATAGCACCATTTCAAGAATATTCTTTCAAAGATGCCTTAAGTCAAGATCTCTTTGGACTGAGCAGATGCTAAAAGATTTTGCTTGTTCTGCAGCTGTGAACTCCTTACAAATGCATAATTTAATAGGAAACTCCCATTTCAATCTAAGACAGATGGTATGCTGAAAGGAACTGTGTCAGTCTAGCCTAATGACACAAATAAAATGGTAATTATTTTCTTCTGTGTTTTTCCAATGTTTCAATGTATTCGAAGCTGTTACTGTATTTGCTGGTTCTCTTTAGTGTATGATATGAAATCTCTCAGGAGTGCAGGGTAATTCAGTGTGCATACGGCAGTGGGAAAAAAACTAAGACACATTGAGAAACTGGAAATGAAAGAAGTGTTCCATTTCTGTGGATGAAAGTTTAGCAGGTGAAAAAACCCAGACATTTTCAGAGGTAATGGGATACTGCTTTTCAATCTGTTCTTTACCAAGCAAAGACTGAAAATTGTTTGCTTTCACAAAAGTCTTTGTTGTTCAGATCATGAAGCAGGGTACTAGCAGAAGAGCTTCAAAAGTAAAGAAAAGCTAAAGTCAAATTGCTCAGAGAAGCAAAAGCAAAGGAAAACCTGGAATCTGGAAAACTTTAGGCAAAACCAAATACAAACAAAAAAAAAAGGGGGGGGAAATCTTATGATGTACAGCAATGCAACTAAGACAAAAATACTTTTGTGAATAATGGCTTATAACTGGGGGAAGACAGGATGATACAATATACACTGCACAGTTCATTCTTAGAGTGGTAAAAGTGGGATCAGTTATATTGACATTTCTTCCATTTCATAAAACTTTGAATCATGCCAGAAGATTTAATAAGACTTGTATGCTGACAAGAAAGCAACATTCCAGTTCCAGTATCAAGATATCAAGAGAAGGAGACAGGTGAGGAGGAGATTGCATCTCCACAGCAGTGTTAGAGAGTGAGGAAAGGAGCAGGTTATGCCTTGTGCTGACTCCTTAGGTGTGTGGCAAACACAAAGGTAGGCTGAAGAGGAGAGTGCAAACGGGGCAGGTGGGAGGTTTGCAGACATGTGAGTGTAGCTCTGGATATGCGGAAAAGGTGAGAAAGCTGCAAAGATCAAGATGAAGAGGGCAGAGATGAAATTCTGAATAAGAAAGGAACCTGGTTCTGTTGATTTCCTTGGAGTGACTATACTGACAAAAGATATTTCTCTGTCCCCACATGACCTTTGTAACTTATCCCTAATCTGTGTCCAGAAGGTTGTTGTACCTTTGAAAACACCAATTGCAGAAGGTATTAAGTGTGGCCCTTTTTTAAAGTATCCGCTTCCAGTGGTAAATTTTGTATAATTGCAGAGGGTTTTTTTCCCCTTGAATAAATGCATTGGTGCTATATATCTTTCTGTTTATCATCCACTGCTTTGCATATGTGAGAAAACACAGACATCTTCCTTTAGGAGAGAAAATCAGTCAAGTTTGTATTAACTGGCGGGGAAAAAAAGGACAAAAAGAAAAGGAAAACAAAACAGTTTACCAATGATTAGACAAATACCTGACTTGATTTCAACTTAGAGCACACATAGGCAGGCAACCCTTCAAACTGAATTATACAGAAGGTCTCCTGCTCTCACAGAAATCACTCTGTAGAGCATGGAGAACAGCTTATCATGAAGGCTCATGGACCAGGAGTGTCCCATGGTTGTCCCATGGACCCATGATGTCTTCTGGTATTTCATCACACTGAATTCCAGGTTGCTGCTGGAGCTGGCAGCCATCACCCGTGTTATGTCTTCTTTTTTCTCTAAGGCTGCTCAGCCACATACCTCCAGTGTCAAAGCTCCATGAGAATGAATGCTACAGCCCTTCAAAGAAAAGTCAAGAGAGGTTAGCAAGGTGCCCCTCACCACAGGTAGGGGCAGTATACTAAGCATTGGATACATTCTGCTTCCTCACAGATATCCTGGCACAGTCACAGAGCTCTCTTCAAAGTGATTCCTACAGTCAGACCGTGTAGATCAAGAAGTAGGTTATTTTTACTGGCCAAATATTATACCCTCTGTCATCACATCCAGGGTGATGATCCTTCATACTCTTCTGTCACCTTTCTCCTCCAACACTGGCTCTTAAAATTGCATTGCCAGCTGAAGTTACCTCTAGGTTAGAAGTTACAGTGAAGTTAGAACCATGAGAGTCATTCAAATATGAGCAACACTGCCCCTCAGTATTTATTTATTTGAAATAAATCATAAAACTACATTTCTTCAGACAAATGTTTCTTTAAAAAATGCAAAATACCAATTTTTCTCACTTAAAAAAAAACCCTCCCATCTCATTGTTTCTGTTTCTAGTATCATTTGTCATACTTTTTTTGCTATCATCATATAATAGCACACTTTCTGGTAGCATAATTTTGTGTACAAATCTTCTATATCAACATCCTCTGAAAGCAGCATTTTTTAATTTTGGCATGAAAGTTACTTCAAAGTTATCACAATGTCACATCAACAGACTACTGAAGATCCAGCAAAAATTATAATACCATGCAACTTAGCTCTGCTTTCTTATTTAAAATACCAACCTATTGCAATCATAAAGTGAAATGGCCTAAATAATAACAGAATAATGAAAGATTAACAACTTCTGAAGTAGAATAATTTATCAGGACATTAATTTAGAGCAGACACTGAATGTGAGAATAATATGTAGCAAACACTATGAAAGCTGGGTTTTTTCAGAGCACTGCAAAACCTTGGAAGCTAACAGCTTTCAAAAACAGACAGTGGGATGTCCATAAAGGAATCTTTTTTTCCTTGAATAAATATTTCTCAATAAATACTTATATAAAATTATTAAATCAGACAAAACACATTGCAGAGGATTTTCATCATTGTTAGAGTGGTAAAAATCTTTCTAGGAAGGTAAAACACCAATTGAATATGGTATCATTATATATGGAGTCTGGACTTAATATTAACTGACTTCAACTGGAGCCAAACTAGAGCAATGCTGATACTGTGGCATTTTCCAAAGACAGAAGACAACGTTACCAATTTAAAGACAGCACTGACGGTCGAAAAACCTGACTGCAGCCCTCAGCTTCACCACTGAAACCAGTCATGGTCACAAGAAAGTTATTTAACTCCTTTGTGCTGGAATTCATTCCACTAGCTGGCAATGCACCACTGGCCTCCTTTCCAGGGTTCTTGGTGTTCTTGGGTACTAAACCAAAGAGGTCTTGCAATAAAGTATTTTGCTTGTTGCACTCAGACTCTACTGAAAAACTGATATAATTTTCTATTTGCTTCATCCAGGTTCAATCTGTACTATAAATTATTAGTTCCCTCCTCCTTTCTTTCTTCTCTTTAAATTAGTACAAAAGTGGTTTTAGTGGCATTGCCTTCAGTGGAAATAGGATTAGAAACTTTCATGGGAGATTGCTGGCTGTGTTGTGGAAACACTGGAAACTGCCATGAAAAATTATTCTTGGGGGATATAGGAAGCAGAAAGTGTTACTCATTGTAAAAGTCATACAATTTTTAAGCTGTGTGGTTAGTTCTGATAGCAAGAAGATTTTTAAAGAGACATAATAGATGCTGTCAAATTCTGTTTAAATATTTGATGTAATTTAACTGCCTAAGAGTATCCCATTCCAGGTTGTCTGGATTTCAAGGCACATGAAATCTGATCAGACATGGACTGCATATAACAGTAGGCTCCTAATAGAGCAGTCAATCTGTGGCACAGATGTCAGCCTTCTCTTGAGGGATCGCTCTTCAGGAATAATTAGCTGGTGGTGTTACTGGTCAGAAAGAAGAGAAACCTTAAGTGATTTCAGGTTTTCCAATAAGCAAACACACACACAGAGCTTGAATTTAACAGGGACTGTTGTGACCACTACTTTAGGCCCAACCTTTAAATAGTAAATTGCTTGAACTGAGAAGTCTGGTGGTTTGATTTACAACTCAGGGATTAAAGTGATATAAACTGCTACTACTGTGGGAAGATGGTAATTTATAGTATCTGAAGGTCTGTAGAATAGTTAAGATGATTTCCCAATAATAATCTATCCTTTTCAGGGACTCCAAAGGCTGGAAATATTGACAATACCATTTAAAGTGTGTAATTGGGTTTGCAAGCTGATTTTTCCCTGTCTCCTGCTCTCAAGAGTGTTTAGCAAGTTTGATATCATGATGTACAACCTGAAAAATAAGTATAAAACTAATCACCCCTGCCCGCAGCACTAGGCAGCCACATCTCTCCTATCTCACCATTTCCCCCCTGAAATTTACACAGAGACATAGGAAGACTAAATTATTCTTTTTTAATAGGAAGACCTAGTATGATTATTGAAGCAATAAATTCTCCCCTTGCAAAAATCACCAGAATTTCAGACTCAGAGGTGTTAATCAGTAAAAGAAAACTCATTTTGCATCATGCTGAAACTCTAATAGAAACCGAACTATCCTTGACTTCAGCTTCATTGATTTTTGCTTTGTTAACAAAGGAGCCAATATTGACAGCACATATATGATTAATAGACAAAAATAGTTTGCCTGCTGGGGAATATTGGTAGCGGGGGAGATGTCACAAAGAGGAATTTTCTTAAAGACAGACAATAAAAAAAAACAATAACCATTGCAGTTCCACTTATTCCTTTCTCCTTAAAGGCTTTAGTGTGTTTTCCTGCAATGTTTTGTCTGATTCCTCAGGTATAAAAGCTGCTGACAGTAATGTGCACTAATCTTAAAAAATACAGGCACATTAAAGGCACTGAACTTCAGTTATTGCTTTCTGAAAGTTTCCTCTGCACTTCTGCACTAATCTAGGTGTAGAAAGAAGTCTTCTCATAAATGAGAACAACCTCATTGCTTTGACAAACTGCATCAACATTTCAAAAACAGCCAGTGCTGTATATTGCAAAAGGGTAAGAATGCACTGCTTTGGAGGAAGCAGAGAGATGTAAAATTCTCTGCTGGGCTGAATCAATATGTTCTTATAGAACTCAGGCTCCCTTATGAAATGCAAACTCATTTTCTGCTTATCACAGTATTACCTCTTCTGTACTGGCAAAATGAAAAACAAGGTAAGTGGCCAAATTAAAGTGCAGGCAGGCTTGGACTCCACAAGTCCATTTCCTTCCCTTTTCTATCACCATATTATCTGTACCATAATACTTTTGCTTATTTATCTTGCAAGAAATATTTAAGAGGAACAGGCCTGGCAGTGGTCCCCACCTCTTGTACAAGCTTCTGGATGTATCTGATCACGGGCTCTTTTCTTGCATACGGCAAGTTAAACCAAGTACCTACACAGCCCAAAGCACACACACAGCCCTAAGCACATCTGCACAGTGGTGGGTGCACCCACAAACTGATGGTGGTTTTGGTATATCAGGCTAGTGGCTTTTCTTGAATTGTTTGAGAATCATTACAATGGCTTCTTGGCAAATGTAAAAATTTCAAAGGTCTGTATTGTTGGTTGGGGGTTTATGTATAAATCACAAATGGGATTGGACTAATTAGGAACACATCTTAAGCTGTTTATTTTTTAGTAGCAGTCTTATTACATGGTTATGATAATGGGAAAATGTTAGTAGATCACATCTTTGGTAGTACACAAAGAACTTAATACTACAACTTCCTTTAAAAGTTTTTTAACTAATTACATAAAGCAAAAGAATATTGACAATAGTTCTATCTAACTACTATAAGTACATGTACTTTTGGTTAAAACAATGTTTGGTTTTTTTGAATACAATAACTGTTTGTAAGCTTTAAGATATAATGCACAGAGCTCTATTATTAAGCTTAGAACTTTCTAATATTTCACTAGATATACTTTTATGTTGCTTAGGGAGTTATTTTAGACAAGTGTTAATACACAGACTATTGTTCTATTTGTCTTTACTTTTTTATTTCTTATATAATTTTTTGTCTGAAAAATCTTATGGTTACTGCTTAGCTCTAATCGTAGTTCTGTTGTCTCTGAGGTTTGCCTTTTGTAGCTTTCTTAAAACCTTCTGATGTTAAGGATTCCCACAGTCTGATCCAGAGTCTGATCTGCCCTCTCACCCTATCATAATTGTAGGTAAAACAGAAAGCAGCAGTGACAGTATTTAATAGAGTAAAACTTAAAATAGTTTTGAAAGGGACAAAACTACAATTTCATATTTTGGTTTGCTACTTTCATCTACTTGTTGTTTACTTTCAGCATTCAACACAGAGCACAACAGTGTGATGCTATCCAGTAAAAAAATATTCAAGAATGATCTGGACACAATCCTGTGCAATGTGTTCTAGGATGACCTTCCTTGAGCAGGGAGGTGATCCAGTGTAAATCTTTTCAACCTTGCCCATTCTGTGAGGGGAAAGAAAAAGTAAATCTTGGAGACACCTGTGTATGAAGCTGTTAAAACCAAAACAGAAAGACCATTTACCATGTAGCTTTTGATATGGTAAGAAAACAATGATGTATCATTATAGGAAATTCTGCTGATTGTAACTAGACAGCAAGTAATTCCGAAAGAATATGTAAGTCAGGGACTTTCAGGGTATGTACGATGCTATGTGAAGATCTAAAAGCCCTTTTTTCCTGTGTTCTAATTAGGACAGCTGCTTTGCACTTTACAGTTAATTGCAAATCACCCTCAGTTATTGAAGGTGTGTCTGTTTTCTCTACAGCATAAGTGCATTATGCAAAGGTTGTCTACATTAGACACAGGAGTGGAAAACAATATGTGTGTTGCTGGCTATGTGGTCTGAGATAACCTACTTTGCTGCCTGAGTAGTTACCTGTCTGTGGTACATTTTGATACTTGGGCAGAAGTTCTATTAGAACTACAGCCAAGAAAAAGAAGTTAAAATAGCTGCAGGATGCTTATGAACATAACACTTTTCAGGTAAGCTTTTGTGAGGAAAAGACCACACACATAGAGCAGCCCTTGAAGTATAACAGGTTTCCTTTTTTCCTCCTGCTATAAAAGAAAAAAAAGGCAATTTGTAAGTCCTCAGACACTTCTCAGTTAAGTCAGTAATTAGTAGTACAGGCTCTCATTTGGGTCACTGCAACCCTCTGACATATTGATGATGATTTTTGTGCTTTGTTTATAAGTGCAGTTCCTAGAGCTGCTACATGTTGATCTGACTCAAATCTATCCCATACTGAGGCCATTTTCCCTGATGCACAGGCTGCTAAAGGGAATCATGTGATGCTTCTAAGAGAGACAAAATCTACTCTGGTTTTTTTTTTTTCCTTTTAAACATCTCCTTCCAGTAATTTTGCTAAAATTCTTACTTTGATCTAGGTGCAAAAAGAATGGTGGACTTTGTCTAAAGAGAACATACTGCCTGTAAAACCCAAGCCAAGGTGTCAGTATTTTAAACAGAGCCTGTGGCCAAGGCCAGGGAGCTACAGGAAACTAGAAACAGCTTGAAATCACTCTAAATATTGCTTCCTTTTTCCAAGTTAAAAAAATATATAAGAAATTATGGCAAAAATAATCTGATTTGGCTGTTTGACCTCTACAAGGCTGGATGGAGAATTCCACCCAGCAACAGCAGCACATTCTTGCTCGCAGCAAGTTGCAGGCCTCCTGTATGAGCTGACGTCTCTGCTTATAAAACACCATCGTGATCAGCTGAAGCACATCAGCTAAAATCCAATATCTCATGTAAAAGCAAGGTCAGGTTTCTCTCTGAAAGGCCCTGAGTAAATGTGCTCTAAAGAAGATATAGCTTTGGAACAGTAGTATTTGTATTCCTACTTTCCCTAAACATAAACTTCCTTCCAGTGAGAAGCTGGTACTGCAGCTTCTCACTGGAAGCTGCTTCTGCTTCCTCTTGAGCTGTCTCAGAACACAGGCACACACTTTTCTGAACCACTGTAGTATCACATGAACTCACTCCCCCTATGCATTTGCACATAATTATACACAGTTGTACTCAGCCTTTTTGGAAAGTGTGAATTTCGACACAGACTTGAGAAAGACAGCCAAAAATCAGATATGGAAGGGAAGTTGAGGAGAAATAACCACAAATATTTCTCAGTTCAAGTACAGTTGTCTTCCTAGCATTATCTCCGTTTTTCAAAGTAGTTGCACATGAACAAAAGCATTCATATCCCAGCTGACCAGTATCTACAGTTACTGGGCAGTATTAAACATTTATGGAGAAGCAGCTTCCAAGAAGACTGAGTTGAACACAGGAGGAGCGTTTTCATCTAAGGTTACCTCAGAGTCCAGATGTCATTCAGCTTGATCTGTGTCTTGAAAGCTAACTGTGGCTGCAGCATTTATTATTCACAGAAGAACAGCATAACTTAGTCTTGACTGACTTTTAAAAAGTACACAAGGATTTTTCATGCATGCTGACACCTTATATAAGATAGTGAAAGCCAAAGCTTCAAAAAGCCTGAACCCACCTCATTCCTCAGTTGAGAGTCCAAGCCTAGGTTGTTTAATACTCACCCCAATTCATTTTTCAGAGGTACCTTGCTCCCCTCTTCATCTAAAGCCCAGAGAATTAGCTCTGGGTAGGGTGTGAGGCACGTGTGGGTGGAGGGGTGGTGGTTATAAATGCTATCTTTAGCATGGTAAGCCTGGTCTTCCCAGCACCTCTCATGGCTGGAGTCAGATGGGCGCCTCTGCAGGTATCCAGTACAGGAACCAAGCTTTGGATGCTCCTGGCTGCCTTCTGGGGGAGTTTGTTCCCATCCCTTTACTGAAGAGGGAGCTCAGAAAGATGTGCTTCCTTAGGCTGCCATCCCCCCTGCCATGGAAGGTGTTAGCACTGCCAGAGAACAATTCAGAAACAGGGAACAATTTGAGGCTTTAGGGAATTACCATTCTTTTCTAGATCATTCACACTTGCTGTTTCCAAGCTCAGTGGAAGCAGCAGATCCTCTCAGAGAGACTTTGTTAGTTTTGGTCACCTGAAAGTGAGAGAAGGACAATTTTAGTGCAAAGTACGACTTTCACTAGTTTGCTGCTCCTAGTTCAGAAAACAAGCACTAAGGCAAAATATCACTAAAATTAAGTGAAAGAACAGCTTTGAACATATATCTCTGCTGGCTGAACCCAGCAGGCACAACAAGTGCTGGCTCATTTTCCTTGCTTCAAGAGGCAGTAGCATATTCAGGAGGCTTCCATCCTGTAGTTAGTTAGTAGTAACTGAAATAGTTGCCTGAAACCAGGAGACTGTGATGTTCAAGCTGAAAATCTCTATTGCAAAAATCGCCTCCCCAGATCCTTGTGCCTTACTTCATACTCATTGCAGTATCTCACCATTCCTGTTTGTTGCAGGTGGGCTCAAGGATGACATGGTTTCTGTATTTTTTGTAAAGGAAGGCCAAAGTAAGAGCTATCCTTTCAATCTGTGTAACAGTTGTTCCCCCTACCCCTCACTGCTATGCAAATACTCACAGTTTTGAACCACTGTGTGTTCCTGAGAAGCTGCCAACAAAGTTTAGCTGTCTCTTGATAAGCTCCTGAATTCTATAATAAAACAGTAAGGGCAAAATATACTCTGGAAGATGGCCTAATGCAAAACCGTGGCACAGTATTTAAATCATAATGTTACTGCCTTTTGGAACTTTTTCCCACTTTAATGTGCATGTCGGCTGGGATAAAAATATTGAGCAACAAGCTTTGAACTATTTTGGTGCTCTAGTAAAGTGTTTGAAAATACTGCCACACCATTTTTTCTACATTTTATAATAATCCGTGATTTGGAACTAATTATAGCATAAACACAGCATAAACATAGCATGTCAGAACAAAACAAGTTCTTTTCAAGATATTCTAAATGAAAACATATTTAATACTATTGTTTTCTCTTCTAGTACAATCACCATGGAAATGATATAAAACTCACTTAAAATATCCATTCTTTCTTAAATGCTTTGTGTTGCCTAAATGATAAATGAATTGAGCATAATTGGTTTGGTATTTCAGTGGTCAGTCACAGAACAACATGTTCTTTGGAACATGCTATAACTGAGTTAATTGCTGCATTTAGTGTATGTGAGATGAAAGTTTATACTAGCTTTGTTTTAAAAAGAGAATGGAGCAAAACTTTTAAAACACTGAAAGGTGTTCTGGGTTACATACATCTCAATTCACTGCAAAGTTTTTAAATTCCAGCAGAGAAAAACTTAGAAAGAGTCACCCCAACAGCAAACTCAGCTAAAATAAATGCAGCTACACTAAAAAATAATTGTTTCACTAGCTTCAGGGCTAAGACCTATATTCAAGGACATTGTTAGAGGTGTAGCCACATGCACAGATCTCAGCACATATGATGACCCCTTCCCAGTTTCCTGATCACAGCATCTAAGTCCTTACTGGAACCTGTCATATAAACTCTTTTCCAAAATACTCTGTGGGAGATGAATGGCAAGGGACAGACTCTATAATACACAATTCAGTCAGCTGGTTCTTAAACCTGCCAGATTGCAGGCACGAGTGCTGTATTTTTTTGTACACATCCAGAGGAGCCATTAATGATCCCTTAACCATGGATTACTGGGGTATACTCAGTAGCCTTGCTCAGGCTCAATGATTCTTCTGAGCATTCTAACTAAGCTGTAGGTTGATTTGAACAAGGGCTACTAAGGTTGTCCACAGGCCTGATGCCAAGCTGCACCTTTTCCTCATCCACAGCCCAGCAGCTGTGACTCTGCATTTCACAGGCTTCTCCCACCATCTAACACTGGCCACAGGAGATGACCTGAGAACCCTCATTTTCTCTGCCACATCAGTCTGTGGCTAGACCCATGCCACAGGTTTCCAGAGCCCCCTCAGAGCTCATGCCCCCCAGCAGGTCCTGCAGGTGCCAATTCTTGCTCCTGGCTGCCAGCTGTGGCTTCATCTCTCAGTTCAGTGAGGAGTGAGGCTGCAGCAAGGCAGAGACATCCCAGGCATTACAAGTTAGATATGACCTGAGGCCTGACTGTGTGGCACTGAAAGAGACCTAAAGCTGCCGCCACTGGCTGATTGCAGTAGTCAGTGAAGAATCCCCATGTGAGCCTCATGACAAAGTTATGCATCCATAAACACAAGTGGCATCACTTTCTTTCTTTCTTTCTTTCTTTCTTTCTTTCTTTCTTTCTTTCTTTCTTTCTTTCTTTCTTTCTTTCTTTCTTTCTTTCTTTCTTTCTTTCTTTCTTTCTTTCTTTCTTTCTTTCTTTCTTTCTTTCTTTCTTTCTTTCTTTCTTTCTTTCTTTCTTTTCTTTCTTTTTTCTTTCTTTCTTTCTTTCTTTCTTTCTTTCTTTCTTTCTTTCTTTCTTTTCTTTCTTTCTTTCTTTCTTTCTTTCTTCTTTCTTTCTTTCTTTCTTTCTTTCTTTCTTTCTTCCCTTCTTTCCTTCTTTCCTTCTTTCCTTCTTCCCTCTTTCCTTCTTTCTTTCTTTCTTTCTTTCTTTCTTTCTTTTTTTCTTTCTTTCTTTCTTTCTTTCTTTCTTTCTTTCTTTCTTTCTTTCTTTCTTTCTTTCTTTCTTTCTTTCTTTCTTTCTTTCTTTCTTTCTTTCTTTCTTTCTTTCTTTCTTTCTTTCTTTCTTTCTTTCTTTCTTTCACCATTACATGCCTGGCTTTCTTTTCATTAAGCCATGAGACAGCAGTGACTTTCACAGTGCAGTTTGGGAGTCATACTAGCAGGAGCAAGGGCAGAATTTTTTTAAAACCGTCTTTGAAGTAAAAATTGCACCATCAGCCCAAGGGGAATGCATAGTGAAAGAACACAGAAAGTTGAAAACAAAATTAAAAAATACATATAAATGCATTTTGGCTGACTAAACTTATTAAAACGCTTGAAATTTAAATTTGAATGCATAACCATCTGCCTTGAGGATAAGTTTGATATAAGCTCTTATTCCAATTTACATACATCTTACTTTGCAAAATGCCACCTGAAACTCATGCTAAGTAGTGCACAGAGGAAGTAATGCATTTGTCTTTCAAGCATTTGATTTTCATTTTGATAAAAGACCTAAAGAAAGTACTTCAGGCAATCCTAGTCAACATATCACATATTTCTAAGTTAATTGCCTTGAATCAGTTTCTCTCTAGGAGCAGAAAAGGTCAAATTATGTAGTAAAATTACACTCTCTAGTGGTGAAATCCTGGCCCTCATGTCACGTTTTTTTCTGTAGCTCCATCTTATCCTTTTTGTGCTCCTTGCTCTTTCAGACGATTAACAAATAATTCACCTCATACATGTTGTTACTAGGAGTTATTTGTATTGGCACGTGAACAGTTACCAGGTCTTCTTAACCTAAATATTAAAGGGGAAAAACTGTGATTTCAGCAAAGAAAGATTCAGGAGATATTTCTCCATCATATTCAATAGTTGGAATAGCTGAAGGAGACATCATGTTTGTGCAATACACACATACATTTTATGAACAAATATTAATCTTCTGTATTTATGGCCAGGTGAACTTTAATGTAATGAAGTAGAGTGGGCTATAAGGTCAGAGTGGGGATTTTGCAGTTTAGACATTTGAGATTGTCTGTACATGATCAAATGACCACTCTTCTCTTTTGAAGTATTGCAAACCAGCATACAGAAAGATTTGTTCCCAGTTTTTACATGCAATCGAAAACCTGACCCCAAAACATGAGGCCAGAGTACGACAATCTCATCTTTTTTAATATGGCCCAGTTGTGTAGTGCATTTGGATCAAGATACAAATTTTGATACCAGATTCTATTTCTGTTACAGGATAAATCAAAATCCAGGCTAAAGTAAACAACTCTGGGGGATAGGGAAGGAAACTATAAATTGTCTTAATTTTGTAACTGAGATTAAAG